CCAAAATCACTAGAATTAGTAACCCTTACAAATGAATAAAAAGTAAGCCAGTTTTCCTGGGCAACTTCTAAATGAGCTGATTACATAAAATATCAACTTGATAATTTTTATCAAAAAAGTTTTACTATTGAAAAAATATATTTTGTAAAAGTCTGTATATTTTAGGAGACTAAATACATAACAATAAAACTGAATACAATCTATAAGCTAAGTACATATAATTAATAAATACATTAATTAGTAATCTTCAATTACTAACATTACAAAACTTATGTGGGACCTTTGTAACTCTGGTCAGAATTGGAAAAACTAAGTTCTAGGACTATAGCTGATCTAAAGAGAAATGTCCTTCTACAGAACAAACTAACTCTTGGCTCAAACAAAACTGGAAAGCTTAACTTTCCCCTTTCCTTTATGACACGTCATGGATCCCTTTACTACCAGACTTGATCTCAAGTGCTTGTGCACAGAATTAGACAGGTGACTCCTATGTCAAGTCAAACATATAATTCCTCACAGCAGAATTTTTTTAAAAAGCAGTAATATTGGGCTGGGGATGTGGCTCAAGCAGTAGCGCGCTCGCCTGGCATGCGTGCGGCCCGGGTTCGATCCTCAGCACCACATACCAACAAAGATGTTGTGTCCATCGAGAACTAAAAAATAAATAATAAATGTTAGAATTCTCTCTCTCCCTCTCTGTCCCCCTCTCTCTCTCACTCTCTCTTAAAAAAAAAAAACTGTTTAAAGACCCCCCCCATTTTTTAATTGCCCAATTTACTTTGAGGTAATTTCCACAAGCAGATAAATGAAATGTAGCTTTATTTTGGCATCAATGTTGCTAGGGATGTAGTAGCTCAGTGATAGAGCACTTGCCTAGCATTCATGAGGCCCTTGGTTTGATCCACAAAAGAAAACAACTATAATTTCCATGTTAGATAAACAATAGACACTTAAAACAATTCAGATAATAGACATGTATCTAGACTTGATGTCTAATAAGGGCAACCTTCTTTCTAAAAAGAAAACACTAAATATTTCAGTCTCTCTTATCTGAACCTCAAATTTCTGCCTTTGAAGTCTTTGGTTTCTTTCAAAGGCAGCAATCAGGGGCATCCTGGCCCCGATCTCGTTCTCTAAGTGTACTACACTGGTGGGTGCAAGGTACCGTACCAGAAAATGCCATCAATCATTTTCCAAATATATGTGGAAACAAGTACTTCTAAAATACATTATTGGAAGGTCAGTTAAGATAAAATTGTTTTCTGCAGGACACCAAGTGATCACTTACCACCTTTTACTTAAACCAAAAGAAGCTTAATAAAAGAACATGAAGCAGGGCTGAGGATGTAACTCAGGGGTGGAATGCTTAACCTAGTGTGTGCAAAGCCCTGGGTTCAATCTCCAGTATGAAAACAAAGAATAACAACAACAACAACAAAAAAAAAAAGAAGAAACTGACAGCCATGCTTATAGATTTTTTTCTAAACACCAAGGTAGATTATTTTAAAAGCAAACTTTATCTTATTTTCATTATGGCAAGTCTGAGATATTTCCTCTGTGAGATGGAAATAACTTTGGATAAGGAAGAAGGGTTTTTGCAATTAAGTGATAACTTATGTAAACTTTTATATTGAAGTAGTGACCTGACAAATGAAGATCTTGCATTGAGTACACCAAAATTGTTCTAATGCTTTATAGATAATATTAATATATTTGCTTAAGATTATCTTAAGATAATCTTAAAAAGTTTAAGACTATCTTCTTATTTTTCAGGTTTTCCTTTCCAGCTCATAAATTTGATGATTTATTGAACAAAAACTGATCAAGTACTACTACATTAGTGACAAAATGTCTACAGCAGATCTAAGATATACAAATTTTGTAATAAAGTTTTATTAAGAAACAACTGGTGGGGCTGTGGTTGTGGCTCAATGGTAGAGTGCTAGCCTAGTATGCACGAGGCACTGAGTTCAATCCTCAGCACCACATAAATGTAAAATAAAGATATTGTGTCCACCTAAAACTTAAGAATAAATATTAAAAAAAAGAAAAAAACTGGTGATGGGCTGGGGTTGTGTGGCTCAATAGTAGAGCACTCGCCTAGCACGTGTGAGGCCTGGGTTTGATCCTCAGCACCACATAAAAATAAATAAGATAAAGGTATTGTGTCCAACTACAACTAAAAAATAAATATTAAAAAAGGGGAAATAATTAGTGAGTACTGAGGCATTTAATACTATTAGGAAAATGTAATACAAATCCATGAATTTAGAATGCCACTTCAGAATATAAATTCCACTACTTTCAGCAAAATGCCTGATTTCACTATCTTCTCTACTGTTATAAAGAAGGGAATAAAAAATAAGGTAGGCTGGGTACGGTGGCACAGGGAGGCTGAGACAGGAGGATTGAGAGTTCAAAGCTAGCCTCAGCAATGGCAAGGCACTAAGTAACTCAGTGAGACCCTGTCTCTAACAAGATATAAAAATTGGGCTGGGGATGTGCTTTAGTGGTTGAATGCTCCTGAGTTTAATCCCTGGTTACCTAGCCCCCCAAATAAGATAAAGTCAATACTCAATAAAAATTGTGACTAGGGTAAATAACATCAGAAATCAGAACTATTCTAGGTTATATCATTAAATTTGTATTGCCAGCTTGGTGTGGTGATGCATGCCTATAATCCCAGCTATTTGGGTGGCTAAGGCAGAAGGATTGCAAGTTCTAGGCCAGTCTGAGTAACTGAATGGGACTCTATCTCAAAATAAAAATTAAAATAGGGCTGGGGAGGTAGCTCAGTATCAGAGCGTCCCTGAGTTCAATCCCCAATATGGCAAAATAAATAAATCAACAAATAAATAAAACAAAATACATTGTGCATTGCAAATTAGAGTCCACATATATGAACACATATATATGTGTAGTTGTAGATGAACACAATATCTTTATTTGTTCATTTTTATGTAGTGCTGAAGATGAAATCCAGTGCCTCATAAGTGCTAGGGAAGCACTCTACCACTGAGCCAAACCCCAGCCCCCAGGGTCTGCTTTTTGGTGGTGGTGTGTTTGTGTCTGTAAATAAAATATTTTTTTTTGCTTTACTGGCCCAGATCTTTCATAACAGTGTATTAAAAGAATAAAAAAGTTGACTTTCAAATGCTTTCCCCATGTGGCTATACATGTTGGAACACAATTTTAATAGCCTGCCTGCTAACTAGAACGACTCCTCAATATTTAACATCCATTTTCTCTTGAGCACAAAAGGTCATTTCGTAAAACACAGGTCTGAGTCAAAAACTGAAAATCAAGAATAAGCAAAAGGTACCCACAAAAGGGCCAACCAAAGGGGGCTGGGGTTGAGGCTCAGTGGTAGAACTCTTGCCTAGCATGTGTGAGGCACTGAGTTTGATCCTCAGTACCACATAAAAAAATAAATAAACAAAATACAGGTATTGTGTCCATCTACAACTAAAAAAGAAATTCTTAAAAAAAAAAAAAAGGCCAACCAAATCATAAGCAGTGACAAGTGATTAAAGCCAAAAGACCAAGTTGCTAAGTTATAAGGAAACTGCTGTTCATTTGGACCTTATCCCAGAACACAAAAATTTGGAGGAGAAACGCTGGCAGTTTAAAGAGAACAAGAATTCCAAATCTGCTGGCTCATTCCTTTATCTACAGAAGCCTCTGATACTGTTTCTATGCAAATGACCATAACCTCGCTGGAAAATTTGTGGCACTTCAATTCTCTCTTAAACAGGTGGAAATCTATTGTTAGGAAAACGCCTAGAGAATATCAGAAATGACCAACCTGAGAATCTGCCAAAGGAGACAATGATTTTAAAATCTCTCAAAAATTCTTCCTCTGGCAACGCCCCTCCTCTCTTTTCTTCCTTTAAGAACCTCCACCTGCCCATGGTGCATATTCTTCAAGAAGACATCTGCACTGCAGATCTCTGCACAAGGCCAGCCAGCTCCCATCAGCAGGCAGACGCAGATACAATGGAAACTAAAGGAGGCCTGCAGTTTCCCTTCTAGTCCTTCAGAGATGGGAGGAGAAGGGGGTTCACCAGCCCCTGCTTTGTCTGAATTTTCTCCCCTCCCCCCTTTCTGCAGTACACATCCTCTTTTGTCATACTGCGATCAATAACAGCCCAGAGAAAATCTGAAATCAAAACATGTTGATGGCTTGGCATGACTCTATTTATTATTTTCTAGAATATAAACGACTGATTGCGCGTCCCTACCCCCACGCCACGCCAGTGAAGAGCCAGCTGTGTTGCAGATGCAGCCACGGATCCATCTTGGACCATCAGAAGCTCCCTCCCAAATCTTCCCAGAGCTATTCTCATCACGCCTCCTCTACCTTGGAGTCTCAGAAAAATCAGGCCTTTACGTAGAGTCCAGTCGAAAGCAGTAAAGAAAACGGGCGACAACGCTTCCATTAAACTTCCCCATCCTCCCCAGGGGCAAACAAAAATATTTTTTTTGGAAGACTATCAGGCACGTCGGATTATGTCAACACCTGACTGCAAACCTGCAATGCAACCCTTTCGCCACCATCCCTCAAAATCATAACGAACCATTTCTCCCAAGACCCACCTGCCCCAATCCTCTCAACGTCGCTAATCTTACTCCTCGGAATCACCCCGGTCCAGCGGGTGGCTCTGGCCTCCTCCAACACGGCCCAAGCCCCACCTGAGCGACCGTCCGTTTCATCCCAACCTCGCGGGGCGGCTGTTTCCCCACCTGCCGGGTCTCGGCGTGAACGCCCACTCTCCAGACCGTCTTCCCGCCCCCAACCTGTTTTCCTCACACCCCGTTATTTCCTCACCGCCCGAAAGACCTTTCGCTCCCCTCCCCCTTTGCCCATTTTCCAAACGTTCGTCCCCCGGGGTTGAAGCCACCAGCAGCCGAGTGTAACTCGTCCTCCCCGGTCGCTCCCGAAAGCCCCCGGCTCCAGCTCCCCTTCGTCCCCAAGGCGGGGGCTTCCCCGCACGCCTCACCCGCACAAGAGGAGCCGCAGCTTTTCGCCCCCAGGGCGGGGCTGGCTCCCGGGCTCCCGCCACCGCCGGCCGCGGACGGATCGGCCCCGGAGGACGACGAGGAGATGGACGGGGACTGAGTGGCCGCCGACGACTCCGCCATGGCTACGCGAGCAAGGGCGGGAGAGGGGTGAAGAGAGACGTGGGGCGGGAGACAGGGAGGGAAAATAGAATAAGTAGGCAGCAGGCTCTCCGAAGTCCCTTCGCTCAGCCTGTTCCGAAGACAGACTCCGACAGACTGACTGACTGACTCAGCCGAGCACTGCGCGAGGGAGAGCGAGCACGCATGCGCACAAAGAACTCTAGAACGCGCGGCGGGGGCGAGAGGCAGCTGCGGAGGCGCGCAGCGGAGCAGTGCGCAGGCGCAAGAACTGTCCCTCAGCGCTCCAAAAGGAAGGAGAGGTAAAACCGACCTCGCGCCAAGCCTCAAGCGGCTGGGGTGGGGCGCGCCTCTAGAGGACGGGACGCAAGAGGCGTGGTCAATCATCAAGCCACGCCCACCACTGCGGCCCTAGGCGTTGGCGCGGACGCTGCGGGGTAGAATTTTTTCACGGCTCTTTATGTGAATGTTTTCGACTGGATGGATTATGTATTTTTATAATAGATATTTCTTTATGCTTCCAGTAGCTGGAAACGATCTTTCCCATAAATTCCCGGAGCCTGATATCTTTTGTGTGATGCATTCCCCCTTAGAATCTGAAGTGAAAACCGCAGGGTAGAGAAGGCCCACTCTGCAAGGTGCTTTATGAATTTCTCTGAATGTCATAATATCGCCTCACTGTGAGACACAGACAGCTTCATGGTCCCGCTTTTAGTAGGTGGAAAAAGATGTTCTACAGAAGGAAAAAACTACTATTCATTCTAATCACATTGCCGTGCAGTCACAGACCCTGCTTCAAATTCTTGCCTTGTTGCTGTTCTTGTCCACTTTGAGTCTTAAGGTTGTCTCTTCCTCCAAATAGGCTCTAAGATAGAGAAAATGTATTTTGGAGAAGAAAAAGCTGAACTCATGAAGATAGAAAAGCAAGGAGATAACATCCTGGATGTGATTCTAAGGGACTGGGAATGGGAAGGTGTTACAAAATGTGTTATTAAAATTTAAGAATAGGGCACAAATACGCATAATTTTATTCATAACCAAAAAAGGGTCCTTAGCAGAAATGTATTTGAAACCAAATATCCAATTATCTTGGATTTTTTTTTTTCGGGTTCTCCTGGGTTGGCTTGTCAAATTCAAAGCTATCTCCCTACATCTGGACAAAATATTTTAAAGGTGCATAGCCTTTTAAAAAGGGGAATGTATCCTGGAAATAATAAAAGCCAAGGTTGTAGCCTTTGCTATTGCTAAAGCAGCGATCGATGACCCAAAGTGCAATTGCAGGTTCAGCAAATCCTATAAAGATGCAACCTCATGAGTGGGAAGGTTGTCTGCCAGGCAGGCTGCTGCGGAGGGGAAAAAGCAGTCTGACCAGTGGAAATCTTTTAGAACACAGGCTGTGAACTACATCTGCCCTTGACAGTTTTTAAAATCACATAAAGCCCAGAAAGTGGGGTGGAAAGAAAAAAAGGAAGAAAGAAAACAACAGCAACATCCAAGTGGTTGCAATGCTTTGAGGAAGGCACAGAAGAATATGTCCCAAAATAACTTCCTGACAAATATCTTATCCTGGTGCTCACAGCATCAGCTGATGATGCAGCAAACTGTCCTTAGATGGTAAAGGGAAATAGAAGCCAATGTGATATCCAAGCCAATTATCTACCTATGCTGACAAATGCATAAGTTTTAAAAATCTTTTATTAAGTGTTAGGAAATTATGCTAATACCTAACCCTGACAGTACTTGCTAGAAACTGGGGCTCCTAGGTGGATAGAAATCTCATTCCTGATAGTCATAATAGAAAATAATCTACCTTATAGATTCATTTCTCCCCTCTGAAGGAGTGCCCAACTACCATTAGGGACAGGGGCCTCTACCACTCTGGCTACTTCAAGTTGGAAAGGGGCATTAGGAGATGCCTGTCTGGGTCCTTTATAGAGGTCAATCTAAGGGGCCCTGGTAGATGAGAGATTTTATTTTGGATATTTATCTGTAGGGCCATCTGTAGTTTGGGCATCTTGTGCATCAGGCAGTCCAGAGGTCTATGGTGGCAGTGAAGTGAGATACAGGGCAGGGATCATATAGAGTTGCAGGATCCTTAGAGAAGTCCTGTCATTCTCTGGGTTCTGGCTGACCTTGGAGGACAAGGGCCAAATATTGGCTGCTTTTTCCTCAGTCCTTTTACTTCCTTGACCTAGGTCTCCAAGGTTTGGTTTCAAATATCCAGCAGACCAGTTCCACCAGTCTTAAAGTAGGAGTAATAGGTTTTAACTTTGAAGTTTATAATTTTACAGTTACTCTTTCTGTTGAGTTAGGGTGAGTTTCAGTGCTAGAAGTCAGCATTATATCCTATCTGTCCTGGAGATGATGGCTTATTGGTCTTAACTTGGGTTGTTTTATTAGAAGTAGTCTCTCTTTTTTTTTTTTTAGTTGTCAATGGACCTTTATTTATTTATATGTGGTACCTCACACATGCTAGGTAAGCGCTCTGTCAGTGAGCCACAAACCCAGTGCCAGAAGTAGACTTTTTAAGCACCTCAGAGATTTTTTTTTTAAACAAGAAGTCTTAGTGGTTAAAGTTGAAGAGGAAGAAGAAAAAGTAGTAATAGTAGAAGAGGGGGCAATGGGAAGAAGAGGAAAAAGTATAAAAAGAAACACATTAAGGGGCTGGGGATATAGCTCAGTTGGTAGAGTGCTTGCCTCACATGCACTAAGCCTTGGGTTCAATCTCCAGCACCACATACACACACACACCAAAACAAACAAACAAACAAAAAAAACCCCCAAAAAACTAACTAACTAAATAAATAAATAAATAAGAGAAGAAAGAAACATATTAAGGCAGAAGTGCTTTCTGGAGAAGGGCCATACACCAACACAATTCCTAATCCAGAGAAGAAGAAGGAGGAGGACAAGAAAGACAGATAATAATGAGGACTACTGGGAAAGAATCCTAATGCTGTTACTTAGACACATCATGCTTAAGATTCAGTTGGGAGTACCAGACATGCTCTCTAAAATAATCTAAGGGAGATTGAATTAAACAGTGGTTAATCATCTATAGCTTTTCAAACTTTTTGTGTCTTGATATTATATCATCATTTTTTAGAGTCTTTGAAAATAAATATATTTTCTTTGTATTGGTAACAAAACAAAGCAAAACAAAAGAAGCATTTGTGCTAAGTCCAAGTCCTGAGGCTGTTTTTTCTCTTTCCTGCTATGCCAACTTCCCTGAGACTGATATTTCCTTGGGATATTTGTTCATGTGATTTGTTTCATAGATGTTTACTGATCACCTGTTGTTAGTGTGACACTATCCTGGGATCTTTGTAGGGACTCCAAACTATGTTTATCCAGTCTTCAATGAGCTAACAAGCTAGGGCATAGAACATACATAAAGTTAAATAATACCAGTTAAATAGCAACCAACACCAATCCTAAACAGCACAAAGCCATGGTGCTTTGATCAGGTGGCAAGTGGACTGTATGAATTTAACATAGAGAAGGGCTGGGGCTTGTAGCTCAGTAGAGTGGTGCTTGCCTTTTATGTGCAAGGCCCTGGATTGGATCCCTACTATTTCAAGGTGGGGGGTGGGAGACAGGAAGTCAGGTATGCAGACAGACAAACGCACCCTGTGGAATGGCAGTTTAGAAAGGGTTTATGAAAAAGTCCAAAGTTGGATAGGAGTTTAGAGTTGTAAGAATGTCATTAAAGGCAGAGAAGGATGGCTTGAAGCAAACATAGGGTTGCTTTTGTGCATGCATACAAAAAGGCACCCTTCTGGGCAGACAAATCACATAAAAGAACCATTTCCTCCCAGTCCAGCCCACAGTGCAGTTCCATGCTTACTTGCTCAACAGAACATGGCCCTGATTTGATCCCCTCTTGCCCCTCCCCTGTATGACTGCCATGATGGATATACAGACTGCACAACCACACATGGTAGCTGGAGGCTCAGAAGTGTGATGTGTGTGAGATCTTTTGAGTGCTGGGTCAAGATATAAAGGGGGAAGATATTTTTGGACCAGAGTTTGGAGAAGCAATAGTATTTCACTAAAGAACTGAGGTTTTTCCAGGCACAGTGGGGTATGGTGAGGCATTCTATGGCTGCAATCCCAGCTCCTCAGGAGGATCCATCACAAGTTCCAGGCCAGCCTCAGCAACTAAGTGAGGCCCTAAGCAACTTAGCAAGACCATTTCTCAAAACAAAAACAAAAACAAACAAACAAACCAACAAACCACAAGGCTTTGTCTTAAGGCTTAAGGCCAATGGGGATTCAGTGAAAGTTTTGGCACAGGGAATGGCTCAGATGAGTTTTTCTTTTTTTTTTTTTTAGTTGCTGATGGACTTTTATTTGTAAGTGGTGCTGAGAATTGAACCTAGTGCCTCACACATGCTACGCAAGTGCTCTTCCACAGAGTTACATCCCAACCCTCTATTTTTTTTGTTAATAAATATATATTTTTTAGTTGTCGATGAGTCTTTAGGTATGTATGTACTTATTTTATGCAGCACTGAGAATCAAACCCAGTGCCTCACACATGCTAGTCAAGTGCTCTACCACTGAGCCACAACCCCAGCCCCTCAGATGAAATTTTTTGAGAGTGAGAGTGAGAGTGAGAGTGTGTGTGTGTGTGTGTGAGAGAGAGAGAGAGAGAGAGAGAGAGAGAGAGAGAGAGAGAGAGAGAGAGAGAGATAATTTTAATATTTTTTAGTTTTCGGCGGACACATCTTTGTTTGTATGTGGTGCTGAGGATAAAGTCCAGTGCCTCACGCATACTAGGCGAGTACTCTACCACAACCCCAGCCCCTCAGATGAATTTTTGACAATTATTTTTTTCTTCTTTTTTTATTCAGACATTTGTACATCTTTATATCCTAATTCAATACATTCATACATTATGTAATGGACAAATCTCAGTATTACGTACTTCCATCTCCTCAAACATTATTCATATACATCTCTTGGGAATTTTGCTCCCTTCTAATTATTTTGAAACATAGTGCAGATTATTTTAACCAATAGTTACCCTACTATGCTACAGAAAACCAAAACTTATGCCTCCTCGCTGCATACTGATGCCCCCTGTGTAACTTCTTTCTATCCCTTCTCCCCTCCACCCTTTCCAGTCTCTAGTGTAACCATTATTCTACTTGGTTCTTTTTTAGTGGGGAGGGGATACCAGGGATTGAACTCAGGGGCACTTGATCACTGAGC